GGTGTCCCTGTCCCCATTTTTGGGGTATCCGTCCCCATTTTGGGGTCCCCGTCCCCATTTTGGGGTCCCTGTCCCCATTTTAGGATTCTTTTCCCCATTTCCGGGGTTCCCATCCCCATTTTTGGGGTCCCTTTGCCCATTTTTAGGGTCCCCACCCCCATTTTTGGGGTCCCTGTCCCCATTTTAGGATTCTTTTCCCCATTTCCGGGGTTCCCATCCCCATTTTTGGTGCCCCCGTGCCCATTTTGGGGTTCCCGATCCCATTTTTGGGGTTCATTTTCCATTTCTGGGGTCTCCGTGCCTATTTTGGGGCTCCCTTTCCCATTTTCAGGATCCTTTTCCCATTTTGGGGTCCCTGTCCCCATTTTGGGATTCTTTTCCCCATTTCCGGGGTTCCCATCCCCATTTTGGGCTCCCTTTGCCCATTTTTAGGGTCCCCACCCCCATTTTTGTGTCCCCGTGCCCATTTTGGGGTCCCCGTCCCCGTTTTTGGGGTCCCTTTTCCATTTCTGGGGTCCCCGTGCCCATTTTCGGAGTCCCTGTCCCCATTTTGGGGATTTTTTTCCCCATTTTGGGCTCCCGTCCCCATTTTCGGGGTCCCCGTCCCCATTTTGGGATTCTTCTCCCCATTTTTGGGGTCCCCTTCCCCATTTTTAGGGTCCCCGTGCCCATTTTTGGGGGTCCTTTCCCCATTTTGGGCTCCCGTCCCCATTTTCGGGGTCCCCCTCCCCATTTTGGGATTCTTCTCCCCATTTTTGGGGTCCCCTTCCCCATTTTTAGGGTCCCCGTGCCCATTTTTGGGATCCTTTCCCCATTTTGGGATTCTTTTCCCCATTTCCGGGGTCCCCGTGCCCATTTTGGGGTTCCCGATCCCATTTTTGGGGTCCCTATTTTAATTTCTGGGGTCCCCGTGCCCATTTTGGGGTTCCCTTTTCCCATTTTTAGGATCCTTTTCCCATTTTAGGGTCCCTGTGCCCATTTTTGGGGTCCCAATTTTAATTTCTGGGGTCCCCGTGCCCATTTTTGGGATTTTTTTCCCCCTTTTTGAGGTCCTCCTTCCCATTTTTAGGGTCCCTCCCCCCATTTTTGGGATTCTTTTCCCCATTTTCGGGGTCCCCGTGCCCATTTTTGGGGTCCCCCGCCCAATTTTGAGGTCCCTGTCCCCATTTTTGGGATTTTTTTCCCCATTTTTGAGGTCCCCCTCCCCATTTTTGGGGCCCCCGTCCCCTTTTTTGGGGTCCCCATTCGCATTTTTAGGATCCCTGTCCCCCATTTTTGGGGTCCCTTTTCCATTTTAGGGTCCCCATCCCCAGTTTTAGGGGTCCCCGTCCCCATTTTCGGGCTCCTTTTCCTTTAGGGGTCCCTTGCCCAATTTTGGGGTCCCCGTCCCCATTTTGAGGATCCTTACCCCCATTTTTGGGGTTCCCCTCCCCATTTTTGGGGTCCCCATCTCCATTTTCGGTGTCCCTGTCCCCATTTTTGGGGTCCCCCACCCCCATTTTTGGGGTCCCAATCCCCATTTTTAGGGTCTGTACCCCCGTTTTTGGGGTGCCCGTTTTTGGGGTGCCCCTACCTTTGCCCAGGTGCGCCGCGGTGCTGAGATCACCTGGGGGGGAGGGGGGGTCAGGAGAAATTTGGGGTTCCCGGGGGGATTTTGGGGTCCTCGGGGGGATTTTTGGGGTTCCCGTGTCCATTTTTGGGGTTCCCGTGTCCATTTTTGGGGTTCCCGGGGGGATTTTTGGGTTCCCGTGTCCATTTTTGGGGTCCCCGGGGGGATTTTTGGGGTTCCGGGGGCGGTTTTGGGGTTCCCGTGTCCATTTTTGGGGTTCCCGTGTCCATTTTTGGGGAGTTTTTGGGGTTACCTGAGGGGGGGGGGGGGGTCAGGAGGATTTGGGGTTCCCGGGGGGATTTTTGGGGGAGTCCCTGGGGGGTTTTGGGGGTACCCTGGGGGCATTTATGGGATTGGGGGGGTCCTGAGGGGGTTTTGGGGACCCCGGGGGGATTTTGGGGTTCCCGTGTCCATTTTTGGGGTCCCTGTGTCCCCATTTTTGGGATCACTGTCCCCCACTCTCCCCGTTTTTTGGGGGTTCCTGTGTCCGTTTTTGGGGTCCCCTGGGCAGTTTTGGGGTCCCTGTCCCCATTTTTTGGGCTTTTGGGGGTTCCCGTGTCCATTTTTGGGGTCCCCATGGGGTTCTGGGGTTCCCTGGGCAGTTTTGGGGGTTCCCGTGTCCATTTTTAGGGGTCCCCGTGTCCCCATTTTTGGGAGGTTTTGGGGGTTCCCGTGTCCATTTTTGGGGTCCCTGTGTCCCCATTTTTGGGGTCCCTGTCCCCATTTTTTGGGCTTTTGGGGGTTCCCGTGTCCATTCTTGGGGTCCCCCGTGTCCCCATTTTTGGGACGTTTTTGGGGGTTCCTGTCCCCATTTTTGGGGTCACTGTCCCCATTTTTGGGGTCCCCGTGTCCCCATTTTTTGGGCTTTTGGGGGTTCCCGTGTCCATTCTTGGGGATCCCAATTTTTGGGAGGTTTTGGGGGTTCCCGTGTCCATTTTTGGGGTCCCTGTCCCCATTTTTGGGAGGTTTTGGGGGTCCTGTCCCCATTTTTGGGGTCCCTGTGTCGCCATTTTTGGGAGGTTTTGGGGGTTCCCGTGTCCATTTTTGGGGGTCCCTGTGTCCCCATTTTTGGGGGTTCCCGTGTCCATTTTTGGGGTTCCCGTGTCCGTTTTTGGGGTCCCTGTCCCCATTTTTTGGGCTTTTGGGGGTTCCCGTGTCCATTTTTGGGGTCCCCATGGGGTTCTGGGGTTCCCTGGGGAGTTTTGGGGTTTCCCGTGTCATTTTTGGGGTCCCCGTGTCCCCATTTTTGGGAGGTTTTGGGGGTTTCCGTGTCCATTTTGGGGGTCCCTGTCCCCATTTTTGGGGGTCCCTGTGTCCCCATTTTTGGGGGTCCCCGGGGAAAATTGGGGGTCCCGGGTGGGGTCAAGAGGTTTTGGGGGTCCTGGGGGAGTTTTGGGGTCCTCGGGGGGGTTTTGGGGTCCTGGGGGGATTTTTTGGGGTCCGGGGATTTTTTGGGGTTCGCGGGCTCTTTTGGGGTTCGCGGGGCTGTTTTGGGGTTCCCGGGGGGTTTTGGGGTCCGCGGGGATTTTTTGGGGTTCCCGGGGGGGTTTTGGGGTCCTCGGGGCTGTTTTGGGGTTCCCGGGGCTGTTTTGGGGTCCTGGGGGGGGGGTTTTGGGGTCCTCGGGGCTGTTTTGGGGTTCGCGGGGATTTTTTGGGGTTCCCGGGGCGGTTTTGGGGTTCCCGGGTATTTTTTGGGGTCCGCGGGGAATTTTTGGGGTCCCGGGGCTGTTTTGGGGTCCGCGGGGCTGTTTTGGGGTCCCGGGGCTGTTTTGGAGTTCGCGGGGCTGTTTTGGGGTTCCCGGGGATTTTTTGGGGTCCCGGGGGGATTTTTTGGGGTCCGCGGGGCTGTTTTGGGGTCCGCGGGGATTTTTGGTGTCCCGGGGGGGTTTTGGGGTCCGCGGGGGGGTTTTGGCGTTCCCGGGGATTTTTTTGGGCTCCGCGGGGCTGTTTTGGGGTTCCCGGGGCTGTTTTGGGGTCCGCGGGGCTGTTTTGGGTTCCCAGGTATTTTTTGGGGTTCCCGGGGCTGTTTTGGGTCCCGGGGGGTTTTGGGGTCCCGGGGCTGTTTTTGGGGTTCCCGGGGCTGTTTTGGGGTTTCGGGGGGATTTTTTGGGGTCCCGGGGGGGGTTTTGGGGGTCCCGGGGCTGTTTTGGGGTCCCGGGGCTGTTTTTGGGGTTCCGGGGGGATTTTTTGGGGGTCCCGGGGCTGTTTTGGGGTTCCCGGGGATTTTTTGGGGTTCGCGGGGATTTTTTGGGGTCCCGGGGGGATTTTTTGGGGTTCCCGGGGATTTTTTGGGGTCCCGGGGGGATTTTTGGGGTCCTCGGGGGGGTTTTGGGGTTCCCGGGGCTGTTTTGGGGTTCCCGGGGGGGGTTTTGGGGTCCCGGGGGGATTTTTTGGGGTTCCCCCCCCCCACTCACTCTCTCCCGACGCCTCCATCTTGGCGGGCCGGGGGGCTCTGGGAGGGGACACGGAGGGGACACGGGGGGGGGGCGTCACCCACGGTGCCCCCAAATCCCCCCCGAGCCCCCCGGAATCGGGGCCGGGGCCCCCAAACCCCCCCAAATCCCCCCCAAATCCCCCCCGAGCCCCCCGAAATCGGGGCCGGGGCCCCCAAATCCCCCCCAAATCCCCCCCGAGCCCCCCAAAATCGGGGCCGGGGTACCCAAATCCCCCCCAAACCCCCCGGAATCGGGGCCGGGGCCCCCAAATCCCCCCCCCCTTACCTGGGGTCTGTCCCTCCCCCGACAGCGCCACCTCCAGGGCACCCGAGGGACCTGCGGGGACACCGGGGGACACCGGGGTGGCATCGAGGTGGCACCAAGGGTGACACCAAAGTGACACCAGGGTGACATTGAGAGTGACACCAAAGTGACATTGAGGAGGCACAAGGGTGACATTGAGAGTGACACCAGAGTGGCACCAGGGTGACATCGGGGTGACATTGAGGGTGGCACCAGGGTGACACCAAAGTGACATCGAGGGTGACACCGACGGTGACACTGAGTGACACCAAGGTTGACACCAGGGTGACATCGAGGGGACATTGAGAGTGACACCAAAGTGACACCAGGGTGACACCAGGGTGACACCAAAGTGACACCAAGGGTGACACTGAGGGTGACACTGAGTGACACCAGGGTGGCACCAAAGTGACACCAAGGTGACATCGAGGGTGACACCAGGGTGACATTGAGGTGACACTGAGGGTGACACCAGGGTGACATCGGGGTGACATTGGGGTGGCACCAGGGTGACATCGAGGGTGACACCAGGGTGACACCAAAGTGACATCAAGGGTGACACCAAAGTGACACCAAGGGTGACACTGAGTGACACCAAAGTGACACCAAGGGTGACACCGAGTGACAGCAGGCTGACATCGAGGTGACACCGGGGATGACATCCAGGGTGACACCAAGGGTGACATTGGGGGTGGCATCAGGGTGACACCGAGGGGACACCAAGGGTGACACCAAGGGTGACATTGAGGTGACACCGAGGGTGGCACCGTGTGACCCCTCCCTCCCCAAATCCCCCCCCACCATCGGCCCCATGGTGGCCACACCCTGGGGACACTGAGGGGGACATTGAGGGTGACACCAAAGGTGACACCGAGGGGACATTGAGGGTGACACCGAGGGGACACTGAGGGGACAACGAGGGTGACACTGAGGGTGACACCAGGGTAACACTGAGGGGACACTGAGAGTGACACCAGGGTGACACTGAGGGGACACCAAGGGGACATCGAGGGTGACACCAGGGTGAGACCAAGGGGACATCGAGGGGACACTGAGAGTGACACCAGGGTGACACCAAGGGTGATACCGGGTGACACCAGGGTGACATCGAGGGGACATTGAGGGGGACACTGAGGGGACACCGAGGGTGACACCAAGGGGACATCGAGGGTGACACCAGGGTGACACTGAGGGGACATTGAGGGGACATTGAGGGTGACATCGAGGGTGACACCAGGGTAACACTGAGGGGACACTGAGGGGACACCGAGAGTGACACCAGGGTGACACCAGGATAACACCAAGGGTGACACCGAGGGGACACTGAGGGGACACCAGGGCGACACTGAGGGGACACGAAGGTGCCACCGACCCCGCTCACCTTGGGCCATGGCGGTGGCCGCCAGCAGAGCGGTGACAACGGCGAGCGCCGGGAGCCTGCGGGGACAGAGCGGCTTGGGACAGCGGTGGCATTGTCACCTCCCCCCCTCCCCCCAGAGCCACCACAGCGCCACCCGTGGGGATTGTCACCCTCCCTGTGCCACCCACTGGGACTGCCACCCCCCCTGTGTCACCCCCCAGAGCCACCACAGCGCCACCCGCGGGGACTGTCACCCTCCCTGTGCCACCCGCGGGGACTGTCACCCTCCCTGTGTCACCCGTGGGGACTGTCACCCTCCCTGTGCCACCCGCGGGGACTGTCACCCTCCTGTGCCACCACAGCTGCCATTGTCACCCCCCAGAGCCACCCGCGGGGACTGTCACCCTCACAGAGCCACCCGTGGGGACTGTCACCCCCCCTGTGTCACCCCCCCTGTGCCACCACAGCTGCCATTGTCACCCCCTAGAGTCACCCGTGGGGACTGTCACCCTCCCAGAGCCACCACAGCGCCATTGTCACCCCCCTGTGTCACCCCCCCTGTGCCACCCCCGAGTGCCACGTGCTGCCATTGTCACCCCCCTGTGCCACCCCCGGGTCCCCAGGTGCCACTCGCGGCTCCGGGACACTCGGACACCCCCAGGACCCCGTGCTGAGACCCCCGGGTGTCGCCCCTGTCCCCTCCGTGTCCCCTCCGTGTCCCCCCTGTCCCCTCCGTGTCCCCTCTGTGTCCCCCCTGTCCCGGGTGTTCCCCCTGTCCCCTCCGTGTCCCCCCCGTGTCCCCCCTGTCCCCTCCGTCCTCTCCATCCGCCCTGTCCCTCCTGTCCCCCTCTGTCCCCCCTGTTGTCCCCTCTGCTGTCCCCGATGTCCCCCCCTGTCCCCGCTCTGTCCCCTCACTGTCCCCTCTGCCCCTCACTGTCCCCTCTGCTGTCCCCTGTCCCCTCCATGCCCTGCTGTCCCCTGCGCTGTCCCCCCTGTCCCCCTGTCCCTCCGCTGTCCCCTCTGTCCCCCCTCCATCCCCTCCATCCCCTCTGTCCACCCCGCTGTCCCCTCCATTCCCAGTGTCCCGGTTCTGTCCCCGCTGTCCCCGGTGTCCCCCCCCCCGTGTCCCCTGCATCTCCCGTGCTGTCCCCTCTGTCCCCCCCGCTGTCCCCCCGGTGCTGTCCCCTCTGTCTCCCCCTCTTCCCTCCTGGCCCCACTGTCCCCCCCTGTCCCCCTGCTGTCCCCCCCGTCTCCCCGCTGTCCCCTCCATCCCCCCCTGTGTCCCCCTGTCCCCTCCGCTGTCGCCTCTGTCCCCTCTGTCCCCCCGCCACGGTCCCCGCTATCCCCCGCTGTCCCCACTGTCCCCCCCCGCCCCTCCGCTGTCCCCTGTGCTGTCCCCTCCATGCCCCCCGTCCCCTCCATCCCCCCTGTGTCCCCCCTGTCCTCTCCACTGTCCCCACTGTCCCCTGGTGTCCCCTCCATCCCCCCTGTGTCCCCCCATCCCCTCCATCCTCTGTGTCCCCCCCTCTGTCCCTGCTGTCCCCTCTGTCCCCAGTGTCCCCCCCGCTGTCCCCTCTGCTGTCCCCGCTGTCCCCCGTGCTGTCCCCTCGCTGCTGTGCCCTGTTGTCCCCCCTCTGCTGTCCCCGCCCTCTGTCCCCTGTCCCGGTGCTGTCTCCTGTGTCCCCCCCGTGTCCCCTCTGTCCCCCCGTGTCCCCCCCGTGTCCTCTCTGTCCTGTCCCCGCTGTCCCCTCTGTCCCCTCTGTCCCCTCTGTCCCCTCTGTCCTGTCCCCCCTCTGCTGTCCCCTGTGTCCCCCACTCCATCCCCGCTGTCCCCTCTGTGTCCCCTCTGTGTCCCCTCTGTCCCCGCTCTGTCCCCTCTGTCCCCCCCTTTCCTGCTCTGTCCCCCATGTCCCCCCTGTGTCCCCCATGTCCCCCCTGTGTCCCCTCCATCCCCTCCATCCCCTCTGTCCCCTCTGTCCCCATTTTCCCCTCCGTCCCCCCTCTGTCCCCGCTGTCCCCTCGGTGCTGTCCCCGGTGTCCCCCCGGTGTCTCACGGCGCCGTGGGTCCCATGGCTGTCGCCGCTGTCGCCGCTGTCGCTCTGTCCCTTCAGTCGCTCTGTCCCTCCTGTCCCTCCCGTCCCCGCTGTCGCCGCTGTCGCCGCTGTCGCTGCGGGCCGGGCCCGCCCGGGGGCCGTTTTAGCGGCGGGGACGGGGAGGGGCCGGTGGCGCGGGGCCGGTGGCGCGGGGCCAACCAATCCCGGCCCGCCCCGAACCGGCACCGGAACCGGCACCGGGATAGAACCGGGACAGAACCGGGATAGAACCGGGACCGGGACCGGGATAGAACCGGGATAGAACCGGGACCGGGATAGAACCGGGATAGAACCGGGACCGGGATAGAACCGGGACCGGGATAGAACCGGGATAGAACCGGGATAGAACCGGGATAGAACCGGGACCGGGATAGAACCGGGACTGCGTTACCACCGCACCGGAACCGGACCGGGACCGGGACCGCAACGGGACCGGAATAGAACTGGGACAGGGCCAGGATGGAACCGGGATTGCGTTAAAACCGCACCGGAACCGCACCGGGTCTGCAACGGAACCGGGACCGCGCCGGGACCGGGATCGGAACCGCACCGGGACCGCATTAAAATCGCACCGGAACCGCACCGGGACTGCAGCGGAGCCGGGACTGCGCCGGGACCGCAGCAGGACCGGGATGGAACTGGGACCGCATTAAAACCGCACCAGAACCGCACCGGGCCCGGAGCGGAACCGCACCGGGACCGCACCGGGACTGGGATGGAAACGGGATGGAACCGGGACCGCAGCGGGACTGCATTAAAATCGCACCGGGCCGGCAGCGGAACCGCACTGGAGCGGGAGGGAACCGGAACAGGACCGGGATGGAGCCGGGACCGCACCGGGACTGCATTGAAACCGCACCGGAACCGCACCGGGACCGCGGGTACCGGAACTGGCACCGGGCCCGCACCGGGACCGCAGCGGAACCGCACCGGGCCCGCAGCGGGACTGCATTGAAACCGCACCGGGACCGCACCGGGACTGCGGGTACCGGAACTGGCACCGGGCCCGCACCGGGACCGCAGCACCGGGGTCAGCTGAGGCACCGGGAACGGCGCCAACAGCGGCACCGGCACTGCGGGAACCCGAACCGGACCGGGACAGAACCGGGACAGAACCGGGACTGCGGGAACCCGAACCGGACCGGGACAGAACCGGGAATGGCAGGACCGCAATGGGACTGCACCGAGACAGAATCGGAACTGCACCGGAACTGCACCGGGACGGAACCGAGAGTGCAGCGGCGCTGCGGGCACCGCACGGCACCGGGACTGCACTGAAACCGCAGCGGGACCGCACCGGGACAGAACCGGGACCGCAGCGGGATAGAACCGGGACCGACTGCAGCACTGGGACGGTGCCAACAGCGGGGACTGGCACTGCGGGCATTGGCCCCGCACCGGGACAGAACCGGGACAGAACCGGGAGAGAACCGGGATAGAACCGGGAACTGCAGTGGGACAGAACCGGGATAGAACCGGGATAGAACCGGGAACTGCAGTGGGACAGAACCGGGATAGAACCGGGACTGCACCGGGACGGAACCGAGAGTGCAGTGGCGCTGCGGGCACCGCACGGCACCGGGACTGCACTGAAACCGCACCGGGACCGCACCGGGACACAACCGGGACCGCAGCGGGAAGCACCGGGACCGACTGCGGCACTGGGACGGTGCCAACAGCGGGAACTGGCATTGCGGGCATTGGCCCCGAACCGGGACAGAACCGGGACAGAACCGGGATAGAACCGGGACAGAACCGGGATAGAACCGGGACTGCGGGCATTGGCCCCGCACCGGGACAGAACCGGGACAGAACCGGGACAGAACCGGGACAGAACCGGGACTGCGGGCATTGGCCCCGCACCGAGACAGAACCGGGACAGAACCGGGAGAGAACCGGGAGAGAACCGGGATAGAACCGGGACAGAACCGGGACAGAACCGGGACTGCGGGCATTGGCCCCGCACCGAGACAGAACCGGGACAGAACCGGGACCGGGACCGGGCCAAGCACCGGGACTGCGGCACCGGCACCGGGATTGCCCCACCCAAACCGGGACCCTCACACCGGGACCCCCCAACTGCCGGGGCCGGTTCCGTCCCGGTTCTGTCCCGGTTCTGTCCCGGTTCTATCCCGGTTCTATCCCGGTTCCGTCCCGTTTCCGTCCTGGTTCTGTCCCGGTTCTGTCCCGGTTCTATCCCGGTTCTATCCCGGTTCTATCCCGGTTCTGTTCCGGTTCTGTCCCGTTTCCGTCCTGGTTCTGTCCCGGTTCTGTCCCGGTTCTGTCCCGGTTCTATCCCGGTTCTCTCCCGGTTCTATCCCGGTTCTATCCCGGTTCCGTCCCGTTTCCGTCCCGGTTCCGTCCCGGTTCTGTCCCGGTTCTATCCCGGTTCTATCCCGGTTCTATCCCGGTTCTGTTCCGGTTCTGTCCCGTTTCCGTCCTGGTTCTGTCCCGGTTCTATCCCGGTTCTATCCCGGTTCTATCCCGGTTCCGTCCCGGTTCTATCCCGGTTCTGTCCCGGTTCCGTCCCGGTTCTGTCCTGGTTCTATCCCGGTTCTGTCCCGGTTCTATCCCGGTTCTGTCCCGGTTCTGTCCCGGTTCCGTCCCGGTTCTGTCTCGGTTCCGTCCCGGTTCTGTCCCGGTTCTATCCCGGTTCTGTCCCGGTTCTGTCCCGGTTCTGTCCCCCAAAGTCAGAGACACAAACGGGACCCCCAGCCCCAATTTGGGGGACCCCAGCCCCATTTGGGGACCCCAAAGTCCTGACCGGGACCCCCAACACGGCTGGGGGACCCCCCAAAGTCAGAGACACAACCGGGACCCCCCAGCCCCATTTTGGGGGACCCCAGACCCAGAATCACGTCCAGGACCCCCCATTTTGGGGACCCCAAAGCTCTGACCAGGACACCCCCAGCCCCATTTTGGGGGGACCCCCAAACCCAGAGACCCAAACCGGGGACCCCCAAACCCATTCTGGGGGACCCCAGCCCCATTTGGGGACCCCAAAGTCCTGACCGGGACCCCCCAGCCCCATTTTGGGGAGACCCCAAACCCAGAAACCCCAAAACCACTTTGGGGTCCCCAAAGCCCTGACCAGGACCCCCAGTCCCACTTAGGAGGGACCCCAGACCCATTTTGGGGGGACCCCCCAAGTCAGAGACACAAATGGGACCCCCCAGCCCCAATCTGGGGGGACCCCAGACCCAGAATCATGGCTGGGACACCCCAGCCCCAATTTGGGGGGACCCCCAAACCCAGAGACACAAATGGGACCCCCCAGCCCCATTTTGGGGACCCCAGCCCCATTTTGGGGTCCTGCCAACCCCCCCCAGCCCCATTTTGGGGGACCCCAACCCCATTTTGGGGTCCCCCAAACCCCCAGCCCCATTTTGGGGTCCTGCAAGTCCCCAGCCCCATTTTTGGGGTCCCCCCAAACCCCCAGCCCCATTTTGGGGTCCCCCAAACCCCCAGCCCCATTTTGGGGTCCCCCCAAACCCCCAGCCCCATTTTGGGGTCCCCCATTTCCAGCTCCATTCCTGGGACCCCCCCCCCAGATGCTCCCTGGACACCCCAAAACCAAACCCAGCCCCATTTAGGGGGGACCCCAGCCCCATTTAGGGGGGACCCCAGCCCCATTTAGGGGGGACCCCAAAAGCCGCAGCCCCCATTGGGACCCTGGGCAGAGATTTGGGGTCTCCAGGTCCGGATTTGGGGTTTTTGGGTGCAGATTTGGGGTTTTTGGGTGCAGATTTGGGGGTTTTGGGTGCGGATTTGGGGTTTCCAGGTGTGGATTTGGGGTTCCCGGGTGCAGATTTGGGGTTTCCAGGTGCGGATTTCGGGTTCCCAAATGGGGATTTGGGGTTTTTGGGTGCAGATTTGGGGTTTCAGGTGCGGATTTGGGGGTTATGGGTGCGGATTTGGGGTTCCCAGGTGCAGATTTTGGGGTTTTTGGGTGCAGATTTGGGGTTTCAGGTGCGGTTCTGGGGTTTTTGGGCGCAGATTTGGGGTTTCCATGGGTGGATTTGGGGTTTTTGAGTGCAGATTTGGGGTTTCAGGTGCGGATTTGGGGTTTCCATGGGTGAATCTGGGGTTTTTGAGTGCAGATTTGGGGTTTCAGGTGCGGATTTGGGGTTTCCGGGTGAGGATTTGGGCTTTCCATGGGTGGATTTGGGGTTTCAGGTGAGAATTTCTGCTTCCCAGGTGCGGATTTGGGGTTTTTGGGTGCAGATTTGCGCTAATTGGGTGCGGATTTGGGGTTTCCAGGTGCGGATTTGGGGTTTTGGGGTGCGGATTTCGGGTTCCCAAATGGGGATTTGGGGGTTTTGGGTGTGAATTTGGGGGTTTTGGGTGCAGATTTGGGGTTTTTGGGTGCAGATTTGGGGTTTTTGGGTTCGATCCGGGGTTTTGGGTGCAGATTTGGGGTTTTTTGGGCGCAGATTTGGGGTTTTCGGGTTCCATCCGGGGTTCCCAGGCGCAGATTTGGGGGTTTCGGGTGTGAATTTGGGGGTTTTGGGTGCAGATTTGGGGTTTTTTGGGTGCAGATTTGGGGGTTTCGGGTTCCACCCGGGTTTTTGGGGGCAGATTTGGGGGTTTGGGGTTCAATCCGGGGTTTTTGGGTGCGGATTTGGGGTTTTTGGGGTGTGAATTTGGGGTTTTTGGGGTGTGAATTTGGGGTTTTTGGGGTGCGGATTTGGGGTTTTTGGGGTTCTCTCCGGGGTTCCCGTCCCGGTCCCGTCCCCGCCGGTGCCGGGGGTGGCGGTGCCGGGTGGGGGAGGGGCGGTGGCGGTGCCGGGTGGGGGAGGGGCGGGGTGGCGGTGCCGGGTGGGGGAGGGGCGGTGCGGGGTGGGGGAGGGGCGGCGGTGGCGCTGTCGCACAAGGGCCCCTTTGAGGCCACCAAGGCCCCTTTGTCCGGGGGGGCGGGGCCGCGGCCGCGGGGCCGCCTTGGGGCCACTTTGGGGTCGGGTTGGGGTCGGCTTGGGGTCACTTTGGGGTCGGGTTGGGGTTGGGGTCAGTTTGGGGCCACTTTAGGGTTGGGGTCGGTTTGGGGCCACTTTGGGGTCAGGGT